TGTAGCCCTTGCGTGGTGCCTAGCCTAAACCCCCAAATGACGGCCAAAAGGCTGATAGCATAGAACGACACTTTATAAGAAAAGGACCAACGCGTATGCCAAGTACGAGTTAAGAATTGTCATCGCCTGACGATACAGATGATAACAACATGCATGGAGACTAATAGGGCTTTGTGTCAGCAACTACGCCCCTGAGTAATAGCAATAAAGGCGGCAGTACAAATACGAGGAACTATTGCGCGCTGCCGTCCAAGTCAGTATGATTAACTAAATCTCCTGTGAAATCGAATATTAAACCCAACGTGGTCTAGCATCCAGTACATCGTAATTCTAGGCAGTTTTTCTGGTGTTGCGAGCTCGATATCAAAATTCTTCAAAACGGCGGCTAGGCATGTACGGACCTCTAGCATTGCCAAGTTCCGACCAATGCAAGCTCTGGCTCCCTTACCAAACTACCCGAGTATAAGTTCCTATCTGTATGTATTTTGGGGCAAGTTCAACTTACCGTTAGGAAGTTTTGACCCATCTTCTCTAATGTCGAAACGTCCCCTTCTAGCCATCGCTCGGCCCTGAATATCTCTGCATCATCTCCATAGATGGATGGATGGCGATGTATTGTGTATTGAGGGATGCTTACAATGGCTCCTGGTGGAATATGATAGCCATTTGTTTCAAGGCCACCGGAAGGCACAACACGTTCCATCCCATTCGGGTTGATCGGATATAATCTTAGGGATTCTTTAATCACGGCGGTTCTGCAGGCTTAGGTTAGCATGCAATAACGCAACCCACCAAATCCGTTCTCTTACAGCAATTCATTCTCGACAGACCTAGTAGTATCTGAGCTATTGTGACCGGGGTTGCCTCGAAGCTCGCCAACAAGGCGTTCGTGTACGAGGGGGTTGGTTAGCAGACAGTAAAGCACAGTTGTAAGCGCTATCGCTATCTCTGCGGCGGTGGCGAAACTACATACGTATCCTGTAAGATTCTAATATTGTTTCAAGGTTCTATACCAAAGCTTACAATGCTTCAAAGAGGATGTTAACTGATTCAGTGTGCTCCGAACCCTCGATACCTCTTGATGTATATTCTGATAGAACCTTGCATACTAGTGATTTGCCGCAAGTATGTTTCTTAGTATGATGCTCGTTGACTTTATGTTCGATTTCCTGCAAACTTTCAGTGTATGTCTTCTCGGGTATGGGTACTCTTACCTCGACGAGGCTTTGCGTTGGATCTGGCAGAAGCTGGAACCTCCTTATGAAGCTCATAAAGGTTTGGCTTGCGAGTGTCCACGAGCACCATTGAGGGATTTGACCCAGTAGGATCGCGTACTCTGTAATCTTCTTCGATTTATAGACCCATTTATTGCAATCTGTCCCGCCAGCCATAAATCCGTAATGAGACCCAAACAGAAGGGCAAAGGTAAGATCAAATGACCAATGGAATGACCAATATGAGATATCGATCGAACAACCTTGTCTATCTTCCATTTGCTTAGTAAAAACCTCCACGCTTTCGCGGATTTCATCCTCGAAAAGGAGAGCACATCCCGCTAGGTTTCTTATAAGTATATTCCTGAGATGCTTAACCGGTTTTAGATGTTCAGCGGTAAGTACGCTTTCTCGAGGCTGGCCGCGGTAGAAAAGACGAAGTACATCGTAGAATTTACTCTGAGTCTATTAGTGCTTTTCAGAAAGGGATTATAAGTATGACATACAGTACCTTAAGAAACCTGTTCTTTGAGTCATATATAACTGATACGGCCTCTGGGTCTGAGACCGAGAAATGGTTGGGGCCGATTTGCAACACAGGGCCGTATTTACTGTGCAGATTTGCGTAACTGACTGGCCCCTTGCCATCAAACAATAGCCATGCTCTGTAGATGGGTGAAAACCGCCCCAAAATGGGACCTGGAATTCCAGTCTGTTTGACCACTAATAGTCGCACAATGTAGCATAACAATGTACCGAAAAGCAGAAGAAGAAGAAGCCAGGCCGGGCTAACCTTTTGGGTCTATATCCCGGGGTAGAGGTGTCCATAGGGAACAAAGGACCCCTGGGGTATATAGGTCTATAGTTCTAGCTAGATACATAGGGTTAAGGCTATTTGCGCGATAACACAGTTGATTCCCAGCCTCCTTGGTCCACCATGTGACAGCCTCGACCCTCGTTGAGTAAGAATATTGACGCTTATATACTATAAGGGGCCTTTGTCTTCCCGTGAGTACCCCTATTTCGATAGAAGGCGGGGCCCTCCAGCCTGTGTTCGTGATCTAGTGTCCTTGTGCACCTGGCTGTATTTCCCTCTTCTAGATGTAGCATTCCTCTTCTCCTTATTTTGGATGGCATCTTTAGATCCTTATATATCGTTATCATGTTTTTACTTAAAGCAATAATCCGCGTTGCCTCAGTTCCAGGTCGCTGTCTCTTACCTACTTGACAACGATTCAGTGTGTAGGATCTGGCATTCTACGGTTTTGCGGAAGAGATTGATTTCTATTGTGGCTAACAGTCCTGCGACTTATCTGAAGCTTCCCCTACTCAACTTAGACATAATTAGGAACCATTCGCTCAATTGTTAAATTAGAAAACGATTATGTGCTTAGAAGTAAGAAATGACCCCTTTAACTAAGAATACATAAACTGGGGGTCAGAGAGATCCAAAATATGGCCTCAGATGTGCCTTGCAAACGTTACTCATTGGCCTTAAACAGCGCAACTTTGCACCCATTTGCACTCTTGCAAGTTAGCTTCATTTCGCCTTTCCACTCCCGGCCATCTCTGCTCTCCAGCTTCTCAAATCGCATCGCCACCCTCGCAAGCACGTATGCCGCTTCCGCTAAGCTTTTCTGACGCCCTAAGCAGGCTCGGCTCCCCCCACCAAAGCCCATGAACTCCCACTGGCCTGGGTTTATGCTATCCCAGCGTTCTGGTCTGAACTCTTCAACATCGTCACCGAACACTCGTGGGTCGCGATGGAGCGCGTGATAACCCATCTCCACCTTTGTACCCTTTGGTACGAAACAAGGGGCGTTGTGGTTAGGACCTCCTCCTACGGGGAGAACGGTATCGCAGAGTGCGACACGGCCCAGAAGAGGAAAGACCGGATAAAGACGAAGCGCTGCAGCCTGATTAGTGGCCCAAGTTCTCGTTTCAGGAAAAAGTATCATTACATACACTCATGAAGAACGTTCTGCAGTACTTTTGAATCCAAAAGTGAGTCAAAGTCGAACAGGTCGTCGCCTTTCTCAAGGACTTCTTCTCGTACTCGCTCCCATTGGGTTGGGTGTCGGGATAAAAGGAAAAACACGTTTCCCAATAAAGCAGAGGTCGTTTCCTGTGATGCCATCATGCCTTGTAGAACTTGGCTTCTGATGAATTCCCGATCACTTGTTTGGGAGGACAAGACTTGTACCAGACTCCGTCTCGCAGCATGATCTGGTTTGTCACTGGGCGATGCGGTCGTTCCAGCCACTGCCAGATCAACGTAATAATTTAAGAAAGAATGAGCCATATCACACGCCTTAAGATACTTGCTCTGGGGTACAAATTTCCAGGCACGTCCAAGCATAATCTTGATCATAGTCCAAAAGAGGGCAGTATGGAAGGACTCGACGAATTGCTCAGGGCTGTACGGAGCATGCTGTTCATCATCAGAGGAAATGCCCAACAGAAAATATAATGAAGTATTCAGAAACTAGTATTATTCCTATTAGTAAGCTACTATTATGAAGATATACGATGTCATACCATGATGTAGAGTAATGGTTGCAAATCAACTGTAACGCCATCTTCGGGAAGTTCCATAAGGAGCTTGTCCATTTCGCGCGATAAGATGCCAAAGTCCGCAATGTTTCTTTTCGAAAAGGAGGGTTTAAGCGATGCCCTGGAATGACGCCAGACGTCTCCGTCCATGCTTATAAAGCCGCGACCGCAAAAGGACTCCATGCCGGGCAGCCTGTCAGGCTGGATGCCCCATTCATGGTCGCGGGAGTTGAGGACTTTCACGTTTTCGGGAGCGATAGTAATAATCGTAGGTTTACTAACCAGCGTATTTACCTGGAAAGAAGATCCGTATCGTTGATAGAATCGCTGTAAAGAAGCAATATCGTTGTGGATAGTAAGTTGAAAATCCAGTCCCATAAGGAGTTCTGTTGGTTGATGCTGTACTAGGGGCTGGCAGCCCTTCTGGCGTCTGATTACATCGCGGTGACGGCGCTGTTGGAGAAACAAACCCACAAGCAAAAGAAACACGGCCCCTACTGAGTTCAACAAATATCCCATTGCGAAAGGGGGTGAGTCTTTAACCGATGAGGAAGGAACGTCTGCTATACGTGTTGCGGCACTATATCATGCTGAACATTCCAGAAATGCTTCAATCAAAGGGGAAACATATGGCACACCATAACGAATATAAAGCAGCCATGCAAAGTGACAAATCATACCTACATGTAGATAACTATCCTACCTCTCTGTAAGGGTAACACGGGTACCTAGGCACCTGGGTAGGTGCTTAATATAGCGCTTACAAGCACTAGGGGTGTGTGTTAGGGAGAAGTATGTTACCATTTGGGGGCACTGCCCTCGCACTTGGGTGGAAATCGAGGCAAGGGATAATTACAATCCTCCAGGATATGAAAGGTTAAATTTGTACTTCTGTTATCGATAAGCTGATGCTCGTAAAGTCTTCTACCATATAAGTTCATATGGAAAAGTACATCCTATCTAGCAATAAGATAGAGGAGCTTAAGTACCGATAAGAAATTTAGCCAATTAAAATTAAGGAAATTTGCCTGCGCTACCGCATTTCGTTTCCTAAAAGAGTACTTATTTGTGGGGCAAGTACAGATTTAACCTTTCATATCCTGGAGGATTGTATTTGTTGGAACATGGGAGGACGTTTTATCGGGTGTGGGGCAGGGTGGTAACCAGAAACAGCTAGCCTTACTAGTGCCGCTAAATCTATATAATTACCTTTTAGACAACATTTTGTCACCAGCCCCTATAGCTCAGTGGTAGAGCGCAGCACTCGTATCATACTCCGAAATGCTGAGGTCCATCGTTCAATCCGGTGTGGGGGCATACCTTGAAATCCCTGCTTTTTGCCCATCAACCATAAATTCTTTTTTTTGGGCAGCGCATTCATTGGCATTCCGTCTGTCAACTTATCATTCATCGCTTAACGCCTTTAGAAATAGTGCCAGATGTGTGATCGTCGATTTCCCTACTGGACCCTACGGTACGTATTGTACTATGCACAGCCAGCCCCCTTGGCAACCTTTCACAACATACTTCTCCTACAGATTCAGCATGATATTCCTTGCGATACTGGTTCATTCCAAGCTTCTTTCTGCAATATCCTTCCTCATGATTCTCAACTTCGTTTGTGTTCCTATATCATTTCATCTCCACACTATTCCTCAACATACATAGTGGCTAGCGATATACTAACGCTTGATGTATCGGAATCTGTATGTATGGATACGTGTTAGCTCAGTTTCCAATCGTACGTGAGTGAGCCAGGAAACAGTAAGAGAAATAAGGAAGTAGACCATACCTGATTAACTCCGTGTCGGGACTCGGGAGACTTACACGGGCCATACTTCAATCAAGCGTTCCATGTCTGTGGCTTCGCACTCTTCAAGCTCGTCGTTGAGGGATAACATAGTGTCCTCGGGATCCTTGCGACGCGCGCGATGTGGGCGCTGGCTCGTAGCGTTGAATGCTTCCATCGACTCCTGCACCCTGCTCTTCTTCCGGTTCGGCTTTAACCTTTGCTCCGCCGAGCCGACGCATTATTTTTCGATGCCGTCGACTCGCTCGAAGCTCTCGAAGATGCTGTTGTTGTTCTAGAGGGATCTCTCCAGATCCTTCTCGCTTGATTCGAGGCATGCCGGTAGGCTTGCGGGTACTGCGGAGTACACGTGCAGATGTGCGACGAGCGGTGCTAGAAGGTATGCGACGAGTAGTGCTGGAAGAGGTGGCTGGCACTGTAGAAGCAGCAGCAGAAGGAGACGCAACAGGCAAAGGGGACTGACTGAACGTCGGGTTGCGCGCCGGAATTACGGGCCACATCATATTGCAATAGTAGCTGATGTCAAAAAAGGGGGGTACAACCATAGAAGGACGAGTTGGAAGGCTAGGGTGAGAAGGTGGCAGACTGGGAACTCGACGGTGAGACGATGAGGCAGGCTTTAAAGCCATAGTAAACGAGCCCGCGAAAGGTTTATTTGGGCCATGCTGCTCTTGACGACGGGACGGCTCGTGACCCTGATGGGGAGACAACGCGTCTCCCAGAGGGTCGGCCATATCACGTTGTGAGAGTAAGGTCGACTATGATGATAGCTTACCAAAAAGCGGTGGAAAGCAATACGTCGATACAAGTTGAAGCTATGAGACAGCCGAAATCGCGTTGGTGGAGGGAAAGGACAGAAGTGGATTGGGGCACCACCGGGCAGAGAAGTGGCGAAAGTAAACAAGTATGGAGGTAGAAAAATAAAATCTCAAGGCTGAGCTCTAGGAAGCAGCAGCTTCTAGTCAGAAAACGGGGATCTTCGTCGACAGAACATTGAAACTATGTTCCAGGTATAGTGCCCGGATCCCACCGGGATCGAATTTATAGGGGCCCCGTTTCCGTCACGGGCCGGGGCGGACCCGGAGCTCCAGACCCACCGGAACGGGGTACCTCTTTCCTCATAGAGACCGCACCGAGGTATATAGCCACCGGATTTAGTTACCCAGACGCACCCGCAACTCAAGTACCCACATGTTAGGCAGATATAGGCGCCTTAATGGTATGTCAGGCCCGTTTGTTTACTTCCCACCTCCGCATAACAGTCAAATAATGGCCCGCAATAAGTAAAATCTCTCACAAACCACTCCCCGGTGATAACAGTGTATTCCTCCGGGCGTAACAAGGGCGCTTAAGAGGCACTTCGTGCACCTATTAAAGGTCACTGTCCATTACGCAAATACGGTGGGTGAAATGAGGGGACAAAGGGTCGCCCCTCGCTCAGGCTACTCTACCCTTCGACAATGATATCTAGGCCTTGTGTAAAAGCTATGCGGATGACGCCGGAAGTGAAAGCAAATTTAGTCATTGTTACAGCATTTATACTTTATTGTCACATCAGAGGTGTGATAATGCTATCTAAGCCGTCTCTTTTCCAGCCTCTTGCTCCAGCTTGTGCCACCTTGGTTCAAATATAAGCCCTTTCATGGCTTCGCGGCTGTGGAGATCATAGTCGGGAACTGTCCATCCTGGCTGTTGCATTTCTCCCTTCAGAAGTTAGCGACAGGGCTCCTTAAAGTCCGGAGAACTACCGTCTACGAAATTCGTAATATCAGTAACAGTAACTAAAAGAGAAACAGATTTTCAAGAGAGTAGATCACTCATACCCATGTGACAAGGCCATGCTCCTTGATGAGAGGGATCGCTTATAAATACAGACTTCAAACTTGATTAGAAGGGACCGGGTCGCCATATTCTATTCAGCTGGAGAATTGTTTTTTCCAGTGCTGGCTTGGGGTGTTACGTTTTGTCTCGAATAAGACTTCCCGGTACGACTGAGAGGATGAATTCTAACTATAACAAGCCCATTATACTCATAGCGATCTATACCATCCTTAGAACTGTACTCCTAGGCTTCGTCTCTGTTCTTTGCCAACTATATTCACATCTTCCATATGAAAACCAGCTAGGAGTAGGGTTGTTAAGCTTAGCGCAGCTCTAACAATGAGCCCCAGTTTTAAAAAGGGGCTAACGTTGGGCGTGAAGCGCGAAAGGGGTTTAAAGTGAAGGAAGACATGGCACATAGAACACTTGCTTAACCCATTCTAGTCTGACAAAATTCACGACCGATCAAGTAACAGGGTCGAGAAAAACTACCTCCGGGAACTCAGGGGATGGGCCGTCTATAATCGGCGAATGGCGACCCAGTAGAGTGAAATCGAAAAAGGCCTTGACGTAGGCGTTCAGGACCCGAACTTGTTCAAGGCCATCGATTGGCCCGGCGCCCGGGTCCGCACCCGCTTCGAGAGTCTTCCAAAACGTGTCGTCGCAGAAGTCATGATGTGTTGTCCCGTTGACAAGCATCTTGCGTTGGTACCCCGTCTGCCACCGCGGGAACGTGGCCCACGAAACGTCGCCATAGTATTCGCCTCCATGACCCTCGTTGCCCAACAGAAACACGGGCTTCCGTATGTCGGCAGTAGTGCTATTTAATGCAGGGTCTCCGAAAAGGGTGCCGTCCAGATTCAGCCCGGAGACGAGGCGGCCGGTGCGTTGCAGTGAGCCGAGTCCCGCCGCACCTCCTAGGGAATACCCTAGCGCGCCGATGACCTTCATGTCCAACGGCAGGTTGTATTTGTCCACAAGCTTTGCGAGATGATAGTCCAGGAAGGCTGCGTTGTCCTCGAGACGCATGTTGTAGATGGCCGTGATCAGATCATTCGAGCTGTAGTCGATGACGATGCCCTCGACACCCGTACCATTCGGATAGCGGATGAAAGGTTGCTCGAACGGGTGGTCTAGGCCAATCACCGCGTAACCATGCGATGCTAGTTCGGAGAGTAGGATGGTATTGCCTTCTACAGGTGGACCGCCGGCTCCAGGGCCGAATAGTATGACCGGGAGACCCATCGGTATGTTTACTTGCTCTCCGTCAACATGTTCCGATTCTAAGAAACGGGCATCCTTCTGCACCGTAGAAGTTAGGGATTCTAGGGTCCCAGCACTATAGTTCCAGGACCGCTCGAAGATCGCGGCTGTCTCGGGATTTAGGTACGGCTCCGGGGGAGCTTGGGCCTTCTGGTGTGTCGGATAAAAGATGGTGGCTAGGAACGCGGTACTTCTATTGTTTGGTGCGACTGGATCGTGGTCGTTATAATGTTCGATGGTAAACTTGCGGACGCCTACCTGATACGGGCCTGTCGGAGCTGGGATCGTAGCAGCCTTGGTGACATCGGATACCCAGAGACCTATAAGCGCCGCGATTAAGAAGATCGTAGAATAGCCCATCGCCCAGTAGGGTGTGCAATACAGTCTAAAGCAGCTTGAGCTGGTATTGAGAGGGATGTGAAGTTAGTGTATTGTCATCGCTCTTTCTACGCTATAAGCCTTCTTGGTTCCTCGTAGGATTCAGAGGTACACACGCCTCCTTCGTTGCCTACCTTCTCGTGTAACACTGTCAGACTTCGGCTCGGCGTCCATTGCGCCAAAAGTCCTAGATAGTAGGCGATAGTAAGCACTGGGTAACACAAGACATAAAGATTATCGACGCCGTGGCGTTCCGTAGTCAAGGGGCTATGATAACGGATATTGCACTACCTGCCACCTCAGCGTAGAAATACTGGGCACTACGGATAGCCAGTAGATACATGGTACGATATCTACATCTAGGCAAGTTACGAGTAATGTGACCATAGTCTGCCGGTTTTGGCTTCACGTCTCTGTAATTGCTGAGCAAGACGATTTTGATGACAAAGTGGGATTAAAGGGCCATATGCTGACGAGCGCCACTAGACAGTTCGGCGCATCTACCGAGGGAAATATCTACGTAAGTACCTAGTGTATATCTCGTCACCCCAGGCCCGCAGCTCGACCTCTTTTGATAGGATTATTTGTCAGATGAATGAGTTGCTTAGTTAGTGGCCCCCATCGGAACCAGCGAGAACCAGCATCATCACCACGCCTCTAATCATCACCAAGGTGTAGTTCCCAGTTTCCGTAGTCAGAACCGTCTGAGTCATAGCCCTCCTCGTCATCCTCCTCGTCGTCGCCGTCTTCAACCATCCCCGTCTCGCACACGTAGCAGTTGCCTGCCGGCTGCCCTTGGTCGTCTGCCCACACCTTCGCATAGTGCCAGCCTGCGGACAACGGATCCATCTCGCACCAATCACACTTCTGGGGAATTCCAGGCTTGTTGACGAAACCAGAATAGAACATAGAATTTTCTACGTCCTAGATTAACTAGAGTTAGCAGTTTGTCGCTGCGCGATGTGATGTCAATGAGGGTTGGTTTGGAGTGGTCGGTTGCATGGGCTCCGACGATATCGGGAAAGGCGCCGTGGACGCATTGTAG